GAGAGGGATATAATCCCTTGTTTTAGAGAGTTTAATTGTGGTTTAATCATCAGTTATGATTGTTTAATAAGATTTATATAGTGCTCATATCCAGAAAACTGTTCAAGGCACTTTTTCCCCTGGTCACTGGATACAGACTCAAGCATACACAACGTGCAACCTCCTCCTCTCCCTGCGGAGTATTCCTAGTTATGCGTGTAATCAGCACTACTACAGTAATTTCATTCTAGATCATTCACCTCCTACCTACCAGGTACCCATTTATACAGATGAAGATAAAGTGTCTTGCTAAAGTACATAAGCAGTGTGACGAGCATCGGTCTTGAACCCACAACCTTCTGATTAATAACACCTTACATGCTACGTCACATGCTTTTATATATACTGTAGTGTAAGATACAATATAAGGAACTTTGGTCATCCTACATGTCAGTAAAAACAGAAAATCTTGCCATTTAGCATTTTTATTAGAAACATTCACAAAAAATTGTAAGAGGAGAAAAATATCCTTTAGACAGACTACCACACTAAAAAGTATACTTTGGTTTATGTTTTACCATTTTATTACATTTTTTCCCAAACATTATAAAATGATATTTCCTCAGTTTTTTGTGGGTGTTTCCATGCAAGTACATGAATCTCTTGGTTCATACTTTTATACATTTCATTTATAACAATGGCCGTATTCGACTGGTCGTTCTTTAAAACCACGCCCACCGGTAAAATCCTACTTAATGAAGACGAGCAGTCGAATAGAAAACTTATATACGTATATACTTGACAAGACAAAATGGCTGCATAGTTACCGCAATACACGCTGTGTAATCATGATTGCTTTAGCTTGCGACAGTATGAGTTTTGCATAAAAAAATATTTTCATCCAGTTTTTGAATTCTGTTATAGCCTACAATTATTTTTTGACTTCATGTGAGTAAATATTATAATTTTTATTTTCTTAAATTTAATCTAAATTATATCAATGCAAATGTTGTTTCTAAACTGACCAATCGGCCATGTTTGTTTAGGTCATGTGAAATAACTTAATGTTGGTTAACGCACTCTGGTTTTCGTTGTCAACGAATTCTATTTTACGAACCAGTCAAATGAAAATAATACTCAACGAAAATACGTAGTAAACGAAATGAATCAGTCAAATACGGCCAATGACATACTTAAAAAACATAATACAGTGATATTTATTGTTTATCATGTTGAAGTGTTCCTCTGGTCAAAACTCTAAGCAGGTATTTTGAGAGATTGATTTTACAAAATGAGTTAGTAAATTTTTTGTTAAATACAGTGTGATTAAAACTTATTAAATTTAGCCTGTTACTATGGTTACTTTCTTAACAACCTAAAGAAAATTGAAAAATATTATAGCAAATACCAATTCTACTTCCAAGTCATAAACCTGAAGGTTGAGTGATCATACGAAAAAAAAAAAACCAACATAAAAACAGCACCAAAGAACGGTGTACGGTAAGAATGGCCCTGGAAAAATGGCCCCGGAAAAAATGGCCCCGGAAAAAATTGCCCCGGTAAAAATGGCCCAAGTGACAGGTAGGTAAAAATGGCCCCAATAATAAAATTCTGTATTAAAACTGATTTAAAAAAAATCATTATGTACATTTTTTTAAACTGAAATAATTTAGTTTTTAAAAGGAATCTAACAACTTTTTGCAGAAATTACATATTCAATGATAAAATATTCAAAGATAAAAAAAATTAATTTTTTTTTTCCATTTAAATGTTAAAAAATAGCAACAACATAATCAATAAATCAACATAAATCATGCATTTATTAATACTAAAATAATTTATTTGTGGCCAATTTCAAGGAAGCGGAATCACAATTTTCAAGAAATTCAATCCGAGTATTTACATTTTACTTTTTGCAGAAATTACATATTCAATGATAAAATATTCAAAGATAAAAAAAAAAGCCATGTATAACACTTTTTATTTTTTTTCCATTTAAATGTTAAAAAATAGCAACAACATAATCAATAAATCAACATAAATCATGCATTTATTAATACTAAAATAATTTATTTGTGGCCAATTTCAAGGAAGCGGAATCAAATTTTCCAGAAATTCAATCCGGGTATTGATAAACCCCACAAACAATGAGTTTATATGAACATCAAATTATTATTTTTTTTTTTAGAAAAAGAGAGTTCTACAATAGTAATTAAAGGGTTTGGATGGGGTTCGCAGTGTGTTTGGTGGATTGTGGTGTTGTCTCTTATACACATCTAGATGTGTATAAGAGACAGGAATAGGTTCTTATAAATATTTAATTTTCTTATTGATATACCAAGTGAGTCAATCACAATTGAATTGTTTGGTTTTCTACAGTGTGTTTTAGGAGGTTTTTGGGATTTAGCAATACCATTTGATCCTACGATAATTACTTTACGCTCACAATTACACGCCATTTTAATTCTTAGCATAATTGCCATATTTACATA